TTTGAAATCATTTGAGAAGGAGACCAAGCATATTTTAGCTTTAAAAAGTGTCTCTAGTCACTGCTGTGACAGAGAGTGAAACACCACCCTCACTTCACTAAGCAGCATTTTTCTAGGTGAGGGGAGGTTAGCATCTTCTGGAAACAGTGTCTGGACAGTGTCCAGGGTCTGTCCTTTCCAGTACAGCAATGGCCATCTTTTTGAATCACTTTCTCCCTGGGTTTTGTTTACAGTGTCATATGGGCCTGTGGACGTATACTAATTAGTTTAGAATGGACAAGAAAGGGAACAGTATTTAATTAATAGGATATTTGTATCATTTTCTATGAAAATTCGTGAGCATAAGTATATTTTTATTTGGATCAACTCTGCTTCAGTAATCAGATACTAGATTCCTACAAAGCAGAAATTTGTCATCTGGTCATTTTTTATGCCAGGTGATTTGATGATCAAAAGTTGTTAAATGTTGACATGCACATTAATAACTAGCTCTGTTGAATAGATCCAAAAAATGCTGTTTCCTATCTAAAATGAACAAAAATGTGTAAAATTTCACAGAAACTATTGATGAAGAAGTTAGGTCTAACTGTTCTGGGTTCAAGCCTGATGCTGCCTATGCTAGCTAGATATGTTAACATTGGATAATTTACCCGAGTTTCTTTCCTCATCTTACAATAAACAGTTGTGATAATAAAATGAAAATGTTTCAGGCCTCCTTAATACAATGCCTGCCACATGGTATGGATGTCATAAATGGCAGTTATGTTGATTATGATTTTCGCTCAATTCATTATTTCTTTTTTTTTTAAATTCATTATTTCTTACTTTAGAAAGGGATGCTAGCCTGGCGGCGGTAGGGTATGGCTTTAATCCCAGCACTCTGGAGGCAGAAGCAGGAGGATCTCTGTTGGTTCGAGATCAGCCTGGTCTACAAGAGCTAGTTCCAGGACAGGATCCAAAGCTACAGAGAAACCCTGTCTCGAATAACCAAAAGAAGTAAAGGGAATACTATTTGATGTTTAATGTCTACATTCAACGATAAATAAAATTGGACTATGACATAGATTTTGATAGTAACTAAGAAATCACAATGGCAAGCCAACATGGTAACAGCACAGTGACCTTTATTGAGAAGGTCCAAACATCACAACTGAAGTATTTTTTCAGTTCAGTTTGTCGAAATACTTCAGTTTTCCAGCTGGATCTGGGATTATCTGTTAAAAAAAGAAAAAAGAAAATCATTCATTTAAAAAAGCTAAAGTACATTATAAAGAGTTTGGCCTTAATTACCCTACATTTGACTAAGGAAGATATAATCATCTATTTTGTATTCTGAATCCGATTACGTATTATGTTTATGAAAACTGGAATTCTCCTATGTATAATCTCAGAAGCAAGTAATACATTTCCCTATGAATTAACAATATCTGTACCCGAGCAACCCAAATTTTGCTTACAGCTCTTTTTTTTGACAGCCAAGCATTCTTGGTGCATTTGAGCCAGATCAAATTAAACTGAAAGCATGGCCAAGGGGATGATGTACTTTAAAATGTCTTTGGTTATTAGATGATATTATATAATATCCTGAAAAGGTGGCAGTGCATACATTAAGGGTTTATGAACTTTTAGAGGTTTTTGAGTACTGGGGGTTGACCCTAGGCCCTTCAACTGTTAAACAAGAACATTATCACTGAGCTGTATCTAAAGCTTTGTTCAAAGTTTAGCTTTATTGAGATAGGACCTTACTGTATTTTTCCATCTTAGTTTTAAACTCCTGAATGTCTGCTCCTCCTACCTGAGTCTCCAAAGTAGCTGGGATTACAGTTTTATATCACAGAGCCTGGATGAGAATGTAGTTTTATAATCTGAAACTGCAAAGTGGAACAAAAGATACCAGCACAGACAAGATTGTAAATAATTCAGTGAATGAGCACTCTGAACGGAAAAGAAATTCCTGCAAAAAGAATCTTAAGATGATGTACCTTTATGCTACCTTGAGCACTAGATATATTAAATGATAAATTTGCATAAGGTGGTTTATATTTGGTTGATTGTACAGGCTTATACATATAACTTTGAATCAGGGGTTTAAAAAGCATTTCTCCTTTAAGATAGTAGGCAATTTCATATGCAGGTATATAGCAAACCACCTGTGACAAAAGTAACATTCCAGGTATATTCTGAGTATTCAGTTCCTAAATGATTAGTGAAAACTCCCCAAAACAGATCCAGTAGAATTATGATAGGGTAAATATTATATATTTCAGAAAATATGTTATCTATGAGATTAACTTTTAGAGGACATAAACTTCTTTAAGAATTTGGTGGAGGCCATGGGTTTACAGGAAAAATGTGCATGTGATAGCATATACTGTATTTAATTTTATTGACAAAAATAATTGCATGTGTTTCTGGGTTTGTTCCTTCTTTCAACAGGCAGTTACTGAGCACCTGCTTTATGATAATTATTTACACAATTTCAGACAGTATGCACAAATGAATTAGGTATCTATTGTCCCTTGTCTTAAGACTCTGTGTATTCTGGCATTTTAGACTATTAGGGTTCTTAAAAACAGGTTGATGGGATGGATAGTGAGTGGGGCTCGTATGGAGCGCAGTGCAAAACCTTTGAAGATGACATCTAGCTGAAATATGAGTGAAGAGGAAGAGCTAGCCAACCACACAGAGGCCAATACAGAAAGAACATCAAAGGCATTGGCAAGATGGCTCAGTGGGGAAAAGCCCTTAACATGCAAAGCCCTAAGGCATGAGCCACTTTCATAAAAGAGAAGAGTACATCTGAAGACTTTCTCCGGCAAATGGTACTTTTAAGAAAATTTCCTTCCTTCCTTCCTTCCTTCCTTCCTTCCTTCCTTCCTTCCTTCCTTCCTTCCTTCCTTCCTTCCTTCCTCCAATATTCTTTTCCTAACTACCGTTTGATTCTCAGAAAAGAAAAATCTGAAAGATTTTAGATATTATTTAAGAAAAGGTACATGCAAGTTTCTAGCCAAAGGCTACTTCCAGGACTGTTCATAAGGTGTACCAGTATACCTAAGATAGGAAGTGTATGTGTTTGAATCTTTCTTTTAACACCATTAGCATCAGTGTTCATTAAAACCAGATTTTCTTCAAATGTTTCACCTCTGAGAGCCTTGCTCGGGATAGTTTCCTTGGCTCACAATATAGGAAGAAAATACATATGCATCTATAAGATTTTTCTCCTACATATCTACATTGCCCTTTTGGTTTCTCCATTTTTTTTTAAAACAGTGTAGTTCTCTGGACAGTTAGCCTTAAAAATCACAATATAATCCATATTATGACTTCTCTACTTTATCTGCTCTCCCACCAGCCCAGGGAATGTCTGCAGCATGATTTGTTCCTAACCATGATAACTTCTTTTTGGGAATCAGGACAGTCTAAATATAAGGACAGATTACATTAAAACTGGCATACATTTTTGACTCTGGCCAAGCCTTCAACAACAACAAAATCAACATGACTTACTGTTTCACTACCAGGTTTCCAGCCAGCAGGACAGACTACAAGGAACAAAAATAAGAAAGAGGCAGTTAAAAACAGTTTAATTTTTAACAACTCCTGAACCTGTTTCCATATTAAAGAAAAATCATATTAAACAATGCAGACAAGCAAGTCCTTGTCTCCTATTAGCTTGTCTGCTAGTACTAAAGAATTTTATTCATGGACTTTATTAGCAGGCAGCTTATCTATTTTAATTTTACAAATTATATGTACTTTCAGATAAAATAACAAAAATAAACTAGATACCTATACTAAAATTGGAAGATCATGGAATCTGATGCACTAGAAACCCTAGGTGAGGCATCCTCTTGAGTTTATATATGTGACCAATAAGATTATCTGGTTTATACCCTATTACATTGTATGCTCCTGCCAAGGTGTGCTGCTTGTCAACAGACTTTAGAATGTGCTGAGCCATGGACTTAGCTATATTTTATATACCCCCAAATCTAGTTAAATTATACATTTCTGGGTTCAGGGTAAGGTAGATGTATGCATATATTGTGGGATTATTAGATCAAACTAATTAACGTGTGTCTCACCTCACATAACTCATTGTTTTTAAAGTAAGGTCACTTAAAATCTTCTCTCAGTTGCTGGACAGCTGGCCCAGTGGTTGAGTGCATACTGCTCATCAGAGGACCTACCTGAGTTTGGTTCCCAGCATCTATACCATGTGGATCACAACCACCTATAATTTTGATGTCAGGGGATATAACTTCTGGCCTCTGTAGGCATGTGGACATACACTCATAGAGACATTAACCGACACAAATGCGCATTTTAATAAAATCTACTCTCAGCAATTGCAGTTTCACATTTTTTTTCTAAGACAGTGTCTCACTGTGTAGTTGTGGGTGGCTTGGAACTTACCGTGTAAGTCTGGCTGGTCTTATGTTTACAGACTTCCACCTATCTCTGCCTTCCGTGTGTTGGGGTAAAAGTGAGACCCACCACACTCAGCTCAGCAATCACATTTTAAAAGAATATACAACATGCTTTATTTTAGCAAAACATGACTGTTTTCTATTTAGTTACTGCTGAAACCTGTGAAGGATGATCTGATAGATTATTGGTGTGATGCTGAGTAATCCTAAGGATTACATTAATTCAAAAAGCTAAATCAGAATAACAGCATTGTTTGTCAGAGCCTGAACCTGGAAACAACCTAAATTTCTGTCCAGCAAAGAATGGATAAGGAAAATGTGGTACATTTACACAGTGGAGTACTATACAGCAGAAAAAAAAGCAACATGTTGAAATTTGCAGGCAAATGGATGGAGCTAGAAAACATCATACTGAGTGAAGTAACCCAGACCCAGAAAGACAAATACCATATGTACTCACTCATAAGTGGCTTTTAGACATAAAGTAAAGAAAACCAGCCTACAAATCACAATCCCAGAGAATCTAGATAACAATGAGGACCTGGAGAGAGACATACATTGATCAAATAAATCTACATGGGAAGTAGAAAAAGACAAGATCTCCTGAGTAAATTGGGAGTCTGGAGACAATGGGAGGGAGGTGAAGGGGAGGACAGAGGAAGGGAGGAGACCACAGAAAAATGTAGGGCTCAACAAAATCAATAAAATAACAATTAAAAGGGAGACAAAAAAGAAATGGCATGACCAAAAGCTACTTGGGGAGGAAGGGATTTTTCCACTTCCTCTTTCACATCACAGTCCATGTTTGAAGAAGTCAAGGCAGGAACTAAAGCAGTGGCCATGGAAGAGTGCTGCACTGGCCTGTTCCCCATTGCCGGCTCAACTTGCTTTTTAAAACAGCACCCACAACTACCTGCTCAAGGGCATCACTGCTAACATTTACTTGGGTCCTTCCATGCCAATCATTAATCAAGACAATATCCCACAGACTCACCTACAGGTCATCCTAATGGAGGCACTCTCTCAAGTGTGTTCATTACAAAACAATAATAAAACAACTAAGTATCTAAATATAAGAATGAAATATATAATAAAATCTACATTACTAACTATTGCCAGTTAGTACTACATTTTAATAGACCAATAATTTTTAAAATTCTAGAGAAATTTTTTTTACCTTTACCTAAAGGGACTATGCAAATAAGGAATATATTTGTATTTCGTTATAGTTAGCAGAAGATGGTAGTGATATTTGGATATATCATTTAAATTAACGATTTTGCTTGGTAAAAGAAATCTAAGTTGAAAACCATAATCAGAGTATGTGTAAAGCATTCAAATTATATTAAGGATAAGAAATTAAATTATGCCTCTGCCCATTACACACCAGCACACATAAAAATTAAAAAAAAAAGATGCGCAGGGGGTTGAAGGCCCCACCAAGGGTCCTATTACTGTTGTTTTGCTCCGTGGACACAATGTCAAACTGCCTTCTAACAATGTCTCATGTTTACACACATAGGTAGTGCTGCTCTCAGTCTTCATCTGAAAAACTACTTTTTGTAGTTGATGCAGTTAATGCATAGATTCGTAACTTGTCAAAGGGCTGAGAATAAGTGACTGTTAAGGACTGAGCCCTAAATAAGACATCTATCTCCAAGAATCAGGGAACATGTTAGAAGATGGACAGGAACAGTGTTAAGAGCCAGAGGATGAGGAGGAATGTTAGGAAACTATGTCTTCTGGACATGCACTTATACTCATGATTCCAGCACTTGGGTTTACCTGCACAAGACTGGTCTATCCACATTCTAGCAGGGGTAAGGGGAGGGCAACATAGGCCCTACTCCTCGCTGGGGCATTTGATGAGGGAGGGGGTATCAATTTCTTCAGTGGAATAGCTACTACGTAAGTTGCCCATGGTCCAGAAAATAACCCCGCCTCTACTCATACTCATGCAAGCAACCCTGATTAACTCCATGGGTGACAAACAGAAACCCAAACTTAGGAGGGATTTTGGTAGAAAGGAGAAGACTTTTGGTGGGAGAAGTAGATAATAGGGTAATGAGGGGGTGAAAAAAAACCCAAATTCATTATAAACATGCATGATACTGTCAAATAAAATATAAGGTTTTAGACAAGAAAGGTACCTTCTCCATGCTTGTCAGTGTACTGGAAGGCTTGAACCAAACGCAGTGTCTCGTCCACTGATCTACCCACAGGAAGGTCATTCAGAGTAATCTGCCTTAGGACTCCTTTGTCATCAATAATAAAGAGGCCTCTGTAAAATACAGGGATGGTAAAAGTGATTCCATTTCTTCTCAGTTAAGGTAAGTATTGTGCTATACAGAGTCAGCAGTACCACCCTATAGCCACATACACTCCTGTCCCCCATAGTAGATGCTTTTGAATTATCACTGTTAAATCATAGTTTGAAATTTCTGTTTTGAGGAACTGGAGCGATAGCTCAGCAGTTAAAAGGACATACTGGTCTTACAGAAGACCCAAATTCAATTCCCAACCGTGTCCTTAGGGTGCTCATAACTGCCTTCACCTCCACTTACAGGTATCTGTTACCTTTTTCTGAAGGTACATTTCTTCACAGAGATAAACATACATACATTAATTTTGAAAATCTGTTTTTTGATGAGGGGTTCCTTCCATCTTTAGGATTTATAACCAGGTAATGGTGGTGTTTAACCCTTTCTTGTGAGTCTCTAGGCAGTTAATGATGTGGGAGTGTCATATATCAATCTGTTGATTTCATTGGTTAATTAAATAAAGAAACTGCTTGCCCTGATAGGTTAAAACATAGGTGGGAGGAGTAAACAGGAGAAAGAGGAAGTGAGGTAAGACTCCTCAGACAGACTCGACAGCTCTGCTCTCTGGAGCAGAGACGCCAGGCTCTGCTCTCCCAGGCAACTCCGACCCAGGATGGACTTAGGCTAGAATCTTCCCGGTAAGCGCACCTTGGGGTGCTTACAAACATTA